TAGGCGGACTGTTATTAGACTGTTATTAGACTGTTATTAAGCAGACTGTTATTAAGACTGTTATTAGACTGTTATAGCTGTTATTGAGCAGCTGTTATTGCAGACTGGTTATTAGTTGACTGTTATTAGACTGGTTTATTAGCAGACTGTTATTGACTGTTATTAGACTGTTATTAGTGGGCTGTTTTGATGTTATACCAGATGTTATAGACTGTTATTAGACTGTTATTAGTGGGCTGTTATTAGCGGACTGTTAGCGGCAGACTTATTGCCTCCTGATGTGTGGAAGAGGAAAGTTGTTGCCTGTTTGTTCGCTAGCAAACTATGATTACTGTCGCTGTAATTCAGTGTCCTAATATGTTCATATTAATGCCATTTAACATTAACGCTATTATAAAGCTAGGTGTGCTGTATTACATCTTTTAGCTAACGTACACAAAGCGGGTTTGGTTAGTTTATTGTGAGTTGATGATAACTTGATGCTGTGTATCTAAAGAGGGGGGGAAAGAAACGACTGACAGCATAAACGTTCCTTTAGCTCGTCCTGAGTGATAAACTAATATCTAACCAGTTAGTAACAGTCATCGTAGTTTGCTACCAAACAACATTTCAGTTGTTCCTCAAACAGGCAACAAATTTCCTCTTACAAACATCAGGAGGCAATAAGTCCGCCGCTAATAACAGTCCACCACGTTTGGTTGTTTACATCCGTTGTGTTGTAGCTTTTGTTTTTGCCATAGTTTGCCTGTTCAAAAATAAAAGCCCTTATATAAAAACTGTTTCTTAACAGGAAACTACAGATATAATTACATTTTCTCTCTCTTCATTCAAACACACTCAAAATGTTCTAGTTTTGTCTATAAATGGTTCAACAATAGTTTCAAATCTGACAGCTAATTAAAGTTTCCTTTCTCCTCTGAAGTGACAGACTTTCCTTTCATTGAGCAATTTTCTGCTTTGAATTTAAAAGAAAATATCAAACTGTGTCAGAAAGGTTTCGGTGCATAATTGTGTTTTGGAAGAGGGATTAAAAAAGGTCACTTGGTGTGAAACCTGCTGATTCTACAGACCTGTACCCAGTAATACACAGTGTTTAACTCCATAAACCTCTCCCTGTCTGCAGCGGCTCTCCACAGTCCCGTGTACCGATACGTGGTCACGCACACGCCGTCCGGGCCAGTCAACGTGACCAGCGGCCTGCTGCCGTTCCCCAGCCGCTTCTCCTTCCACTGTCTGGACGTCGTGGCTTTCTTCGGAGGGCTGGAGTCCGTCCTGGGGACACCGCTCTCTGACAAAGACAGGAACTTCCAGGAGCTCATCAGACGCCACCTCGTCAACTTCGCCAGAACAGGTGACGATGCTTCCCGTGTCTCGCCACAACAGCGACGATAGTAACATTAGCGCAGCGTCAAATCTGAAATGTAAAGTTTGGAAGACATTTGGATTTGGAAGAAGGAAGGGCAGTTGGATAAAAGTCAATTTCTGCCAATAGATCCAATAAATGTTACACACAGAAATACGCAGTAGAAAAACTATTAACTGCAACATTTACAGGAAATAATTCAATAATTAAAATTCATCCAAATCTCTGGTTTTACACTAATTTCCTGCAGTTGTTCTGTATTATATATGAAATAATTATATCCTGTTGCTTCCTTCTCGCAGGTAAGATGAAGGCCGAGTGGCCAGAATACCCAGCAGCCACTGCTCTCCTGTCCGGCAATCTGACGGTGAAGCAGGACTACAGGGCGGATCGGTGTCGGCTGTGGAGGGAGAACGGCCTGTACGCCTACGCCTGGATAAACTGAGTGTTCGTCTAAAACCAGACTTCATGAAAGGCTTCGTTACACTGAAGTGACGTTGGCTCGAATCCCACAGCAGCTATTTGACTAAATATCTCAGTGAACTTAAAGGGTCAGTTCACCAAACTTCACGCAACCTCCAGTGGATTTATCTCATAGTTTTTATATTATTGTGGATCAGAGGTGACAAAACATAATTGTATTTTTATTTTATGGTATTAAATTTGCAAAAACCTCAGAATTTAAATTTATCCGAAGTTAAATTAGAGGAACTGCTTTCACCCAAAAAGTACCTGGATGTGTTGCTCTCATCTTAACCCAATTCTGAATCCCCTGTGATGTGGTTAAGGTCTGTGAGCTGAATTTTGTTGCTAGGATGAGGAAGGCACGATATAGTTGAGTAAGAATCAGGAATATTTCACTTAAATCCATAACTATGTAGTTTTCTCCCCCGTCCGTGGGTCAGTATTGATGCGCAATCTATGTCTCTTCTGTTTAATATGGAGTGTGGACTGGTAG